TTAGAGAGTGAGAGAAAGAGAGTTCTTGAGAGATGGAAGGAGGGTTTGGACGAAGTGTTGAGTGGAATGAGGGAAGTGGTAGAAGAAGATACGTTTGAGTGGAGGGCAACAAAGCCATGGAAGGTCGAAGAAAGTGAGAGGGATAGAGGTTGGAGGAACTGAACCTGGTGGAGGACTCACCTGACACTCTTCAATCACCTTCACTTTCTGAGCCATGGATTGCTGTAGGCTTCAACGATTTAGTTGAGTAATCAAATTTGCTCTTGAATTTTATTCAAAACCCCTCACGAGAAACCAAGTTATATTAAGAACAACAATTGGGAAATAAAATAGAGATAGCGTGCATTGAAAAAACTAAAAAAAGAGATAATTAAGATTTCATGTCCCAATTTTCTTAGCACCACAGCTTGCATACCAAATTTCTTAACACTAGTGGATGCTCATCTTTCTCTTTATATTTTTATATCACATTCAATCATTTATTGTAATTGTATTTTTTTTCTTTCTTCTCCTTTTTTTAGTGAGTACTATTTTTTTTCTTATTTATAAAACTCAATTTAAAATAATTATGTATTTATATATATATACTCCAATTCATATTATCTCATATATTAATTATTTTTAAACTAAAATATTTTTAATTAAAGTATATTTTTTTAATTTGATAAAAAATGTATTAATTATAAATTATTTAAAAAATAAAAGAAAGACAAGTATTAATTAGAAGAGATAAGTAATATAAGATATACATTTTAATTGATTAGAATATATGTGTATTAATTATAATAAAAAAACAGTATAAGAGTAGTTTTAGAAGAAAAAACTAATATAAATAAAATAAATTTATTATCTTTAATTAAATTAATTATTATTTTTAATTTTAGTGAATTAAATAATTGGGTCCTATTCATAGAAATGGGATATTATTAAATATAACACACTTGAGTGTTAAAAAATATTTTTGTTAAAATAAAATATACGTACACAGAAAGTTCAACGATGTAGTTGAGTAATCCAATTTGCTATTGAATTATATTTAAAAGATAAAAAGAATAATGACTTTTTTTATGTACGAATAACGACATAAAAAATTAAAACTTACTGCTTAACCCTACATTAGTAAAGAATGATGAGTATTAAGTATTTAAAAAATAAGGTGCATGCCCACAAATCATAGCTTAATTTTATTTTACTATTTATTATATTTTAGTTTTTTTAATCATAACGGGCCAGTTTAAGACCAATAAATCAGTTTTGTTTTTCTTTATGTCTTGTCCATTTTTTTTTCTTCTCACATATATCCTCGTTTGAGATCTCTCAACGAAGATTCTAACATTGATTCCCTATGGTTTTTTAATTATTAAATAAAATAAATTAATTTTAAATGATTGTTAACTTAAATTTTAAATGATAAAATTTAAGATAAAGTTATATTATGTTAAAATAAAATAAATTTAAATAAACAAATAAATGGTATAAATAATAATCATAATCTTATATGTCAATAATAACCATTATTACTTATCAAAAAAAATAAAAATTATAATATAAAAATAAAATAAAATAAAATAAAATCCTTGTGAAATCATAATAAAAATCCTTGTGAGGGATGGGACTGGGTTCGGGTGGCGGCTGCTGCAGTAGTTAATCCTATATGGAGTATGGATTGTAGTATTTTTCAACCATTTTTATTAAAAGCGTTTACAAATCAATTCAATCTAATAAAAATTAAAAATTAGATAAAAATCAAACTCTAAAACTTTTATTCATTACAAATTTTCTTAAATTGAGAAATCCCAAAAATGTGCTTTGTTATTTTTTTTCTAATTTGAAATTTTTTCTTTAAATTTTTTTTACAATCTAAATACATTTTTATAAGCTACACTAGGTAGAATTGATTTTAAATTTGCATTAGGCTACGTCTCTTGAGATCAAATATTTAGGGGGTGTATTAGTTTAAAATTTTAAAAGATTTTTTTAAAATAAAAAAATTTGTTGATATTTAATCAGGATTTTATGTTACTTAAAAGTTATTTAATGATATTCAATATGGATTTTTAAGATTTTTTAAATAGTTTATTAAAATTCATTCGTATTCATTTAAGTTTTTTTATAACTTAAAAACAATCAATTGGTATTCAAAAATATAAGAATTTTAAAAGATTATTATATTAGAGAGATTTTGAAGGAATTTTTAGTGATATCTATAAATACTAAATTCATAAAACAATTTCATCCAAATCCATTAGATTTTGGATGATTGTTTGAAGTGACTTTTCAAGTACTTCAAAAATTTTCAAGTGAGTTTTTCATCTTTTTTTTTTCTATGCTAGTTCCTATCTTTTTCATTTTTTTCTCAACTAATAATACTGCACTATTTGGTGAAACTCCAGTACGTAAATAAAAATGTCATTGACTTGTTCTATTTTTATTATGTTTTCTTTAATTGATTTGCTCTATTTTACTCTATTTAGTTGAGTCTGTTTCTTAGATATATAATACAAAAAAAACGCTTGAAATTTCAACTTTTAAGTAATAATTTTTTTATAACATACGTCAAGAAAAGGGAAAGGTGAAAATTAAAATTGATATCATGATCTCTACAATCAACTGTAGATCTTCAAACCCTTGTAATCAATTTAGATTTAAAGGTATTTACCATAATTAGCTAGAACCTTTAATTGTTGAGTTTAAGATATTTGTCTATACCATATAACATTTTTTAATTGAATAAATGGATGTTTAAATATCTAAAATATAGAAATAATAATACCTTATATATATATATAGTAGTTAAGCCTTTTACGAGGTTATAGTTTTGTTTTTAATTATATAGGTACCAATTAGGTGAGGTATAAATTTAATAAGTATTTTATCCATAATTATTTATATACCTAGTTTCCAACATATGTTGTTTTAGTAATTCAAATGGGAGATTTACAAGTAAATAATATAAAGGAAAAGAAAAAAAAAACTATGAAGCTTGGACCAAGGTGGATTCTGATGAATTGTTATAGTTGATAGTGAATGCTATAAAAAGTGGATTGCGTGATGCTAATGAGTCAATTAGCAAACTAAATGTGGAGAAAGTCATCCTTCCTCACCTCAATGTTAAAATTAAATTCCCTAAAACGATATAATAATACGTCAACACTTATGCGCAATAATTCTAGCTTTGGGTGAGACCTAATTACAAAGACATTCACCCAATTACAAAGTAGAACTTGTGTTAGCATGTGCAACATTACATAAATTTCTTCGTAAAGAATATCGTTTCGATGAATTTCCAATTAAACTGGTGGACGAACCTTCATCTTCAACATTACCACTTAATGAAGATTATAATTTTAAGTCTATTGTTCAAACCCAGGAGCAAGAGCAAGAAGTCTTTAATGCTTGAAGGACCAGTATAATTATGGATATGTGAATGAATACTATTTAGGAGGACATGATATTACGGAGAATTATTATTATTATTTATCCAAACATTGTTATTTTTTTTATTATTTTGTCTTTGACTCTTTTTAAATTTAAATATATGAAAAATTCTTGAACTTTCATCATATGTCAAAAATTTACAAAATTTTATAGAATCCATTAAAATCTTGACTCAAAAGTCTTGCAGAATCCATTAAAATCCTAATTTAAAGTCTTGCAAAATCCTACAAAGTCTTAAAAGTTATAAAAATCCTGCAAAATCCTTTAAAATCCGCATAACTTTAATTATGACCTTATAAGGTGAGAATTATTCCCCACTTATATACACAATTATAACTTTATCTCTAAGAGATATGGGATTTCCAATAAACCCCCTCACACTGAAGATAGGATATATCAAGCATGAAATTTATGAGTCTAACTAAAATCTACAAAAGCGACTTATAAGGTGAGGGTTACCCCCCACTAATATATTCTTTAATTGTTTTATTTCTAGCTGATGTGAGACTTGAGTTTGTCTCAATATATCCCTTCATGTCCAACACTATTGGACTTGATACGTGGATAGATAGTAGATAACCCTTTTTTAATCTAGGATAGATATAACTTGAATTTTTCTCAATATACCTCTTCACGTACTATTTTAGAATAAATCTAGATAGTTCTGATACTATCTTTAACAAAGTAGTTTAAAGGTCTAACCCAGTCTTACAAAATTGATTTGTGAGGTAAAGATTGTTTCTCACTTATATGCACAATTATAACTTTATTTTTAGTCGATGTAAGATCTCCAACATCTATGATGATGGACCATGTCTCCTAATAAATAAATAAAAATTGTTTAATAGTTCTTGGTTTGAATCAACAACTTCAAATAGACTACACCATCTATCAGGGGCAATGCATTGGTACCTAACGGAGGAGAATAGGAGAGAGGTCAATAGAGAAAGGAGGGGCAAAAGAGAGATAAAAAAAATCAAAATTATGAGAGAAAATAATCATTTGTTTTAGGTTTATTTTTAATTGACATGACAACATTTTATTCATAGGATAAAAAGTGAAACACAGAATATGATATAGGTGATTTTGATCTGAATAGGAAAAATAGTAAGGGAAGGTGTTCATTAAAAATATATACTTATATTGAAAACCTCAACATTGTAGTTGAGTAATCCAATTTTACACTTTTTATTTTATTTTGCTGTGCTTTAATTTGCTATGCTTTTTTTAGGGTGAGAAGAAAAAGAATTTTTTTAAGGATATTTCATAATTTAAAATAAAAAGAAAGTGATGTGGGTGATGGAGGTTTATTCAAATAAAAAAAAATTATAAACGTTCTTATCAAGATATATAAAACGTTTTTAGTCCCTCTTTGTTATTCAAATTTATATATATATATATAAAGTGAATTTATTTAAATAATATTACTTTTTTATTTTTTTTTCTATGATATAAAGATTTTTTTTCTTAAATTAGCATAATCAAATTTATTTAAAAATATTTTTTAATAGATATTATATTTTATTGAAATATTACTGATATTAATTAATATTTTATTAATTTTAATTCTTAAAAAATGCTTATGCTAAAGTAACCATCATTAAAATTGTCAACAATATTTTACAACATATGTAGTCGAACCATGTTTTCTTATTTAATTGATTTTATGTATTATTTGTTGATTTTTTTTTCATATATATAGAATAGATTTCCTTAAAAAAAAATTCAATTAACTGTGAAAATAGTATAACTAGAGAAATTAAATCAAATAATTATAATATTTGTAAGCCTATATCTACAATGATGAGTATTTTACTAATTTTAATTTATTCTAACGTTAAACATAGGTATTTTTCAAGTGTAATAATACATAAAAATTAAATAAAATAAAAAATTTATTAATTAATAAAATTAATAAAATAAAATAAATCACTTATTTAAAAAAAAAGTATAATTTATAAACTATTTAAAAGCTTACTTTTATATTTTATAAATAAAAACTATATTACCAAATAACATTATTTTTTAATAACCAGAGTACAGAATGTCCTAGTTGGCTATTTAAAGGATGTCGTAATCATGCTCTTGATCATTAATTGAGAACCGAAGGAAACTATGGAGAAGTTATATATACCTACCCCAACCTCCATAGTGAAAGCACAACTAACAACTGTACTAGGCTTAATTAAATATGAATTTGCAAACATTTATTCGATTATGTGATCATTGTATTCGATTATATGTTTCGTAGGTTAGTCAATAAATGTAGTTATATATATACAAATTGAATTGATTAAATAGCCTTGCAATTTATAAAATATTTGTCAGACAAATTTTTAATATGTATTTATTATGTGATTCAAGTGGAACAAATTAGTACTTTTTGTTTTATTATATTTTTTTTATCTAAATCAAATAATTTTATAATATTATTTATTTTATTTATGGCTATAAAGTGGATTAATTGGTCATCTATTGTAGATAGCGGGATCCCATGGAACTTCCGGAGTATAAATTTTGTATTTTATTTGTCCTGCAAAGCCTAAAATTTTAACAATTTAATGGACCATCACTCTTGCATATTCTAGTCTAAGAATTATAAACAACTTTGGTTGGATTAGGACCGGAGAACGACCCATAAAATTACAAATAACTTTTTGAAAAATAGGTTAACTTTTACATATGTCATGTTAAATTTGGAAAATCAATTGTTATTTTTTTTTAAAATATATCCTCTCACGGAATTGAAAAAATATATATTTCTCTAAAATAATTAGTTATCTCCATAATAGTATAAGTCTGTGCGAATGCATGTGGTTAATGAATGCTGGTTTTACAATGAAAGTGAATTCACCAAAACTAGATGTCTATTCCTTGTAGTTTGAAAGAATTGAGCTGGATTCGGTGTAGTGGAAGATTCATTATTGCTAGCGGTATAGGTTGGACAGCGCTGGAAACAAACTAAAAGATTCAACTCAAGTTTCCCAATAAGTTCCGTTCCCACGTAATTCCTACATTCTTCTTTCTCTTTTTAACTACCCACTATTTTTATTTTTGGAAATTACTGAAATGTATTTGATTGGAAAAAAAAACGTTTTTTTTTAGAACGACAAAAATGTTATTGAAAAATATTTTATATTGTAATTTGAAAATGAAAAAAAACCTTATGTAAAGGTAAAAAAATAAAAAAAAATATTGAGTGTTTACTTTCCTTTATGTTTGTTTTCATTACTTTGTAAACTATGTTGTGGTATCATCTCCTTATTGAAGGATTTTTAGAATTACTATTTTAACTCATAAGGATTATTATAATTATGTGTTGTTGATAGTAGTTTTAATTGAAACAAAAAATTTAATAATTTGTAATTTAATATTTTTGTGTTGAAAAATGAAAATTTTATACTATGTATCTTTTAATTAAATTTTCCAATTGTTGTCAAAAGGTTAACTTTGTCAATTTAAATTAATAAAGTAATAAAATAAATAAAATTATTGACATTAGTTAGTATAAGTAGTAGTAAATTGTGTCTCTTAATCAAATTATCCGAAATTCAAATCCTATTAATATTGGATGGAATAAATATATTGGGTAAGGAATATTTACTTTGTGAGATATCATTCTAGTAATAGATATTTCATACTGATATATTTTTGCCACTCTTATTCATAAGCATGCTCACCTATGAAACTCGTATTTAATACGATACATGAAAACAATAATTATATATATATATATATATATATATATATATATGTGTGTGTGTGTGTGTGTGTTGTGTGTGTGATCCTATCAACACAAAATACAATTTAATATCGTATTCTAAATTCTCTACTCTAAACTTAAAACTAATATCAAGTTAATTATATCAATAAAAGCATCTATAGTATCGTATTCTAAATCTTATACTCTAAACTTAAAACTAGTCTCTCATTTTTTATATCCTTTATCTTTCATAGACAAAAGTTGAAGATTAAAATACGCATAAACCAAATTTTATATCTTTTTGGATCCATTTTATTTTTCTTCAAAAAATAAATAAAGGAGCACATATTTCAATTCCTTTCATGACATTACAAAAAAATACCGTAAAGCTTAACACAAATTTATATATATATATATACAGGAGAGTTCAAATGATACCAGTATAATTTTTACTAATATCTTAAATAATTTTATAAGATTAAATTTGAGTTATTAGATATATATAGTGATTGTGATTATTATTATTGTTGGAGAGAGGTTCATGAGAAAAAATTTGCAGGATCCAAATTCAAACTTAAGATGTGCTTACAGATCTCAAGTTTTAGATTCCACTTGTGATTGGACAGGCCTACGTATAACTGATTTCTTTAACCATGTTAGCATTTAATTTTGTGTCCCCACCCATAAAGAAAACTTTATTGGTTAGGATTTAGTCTAATATATGTCCAATAAATGTCGGGAAACGAAGTAATTAATCTGGCGTGGGAAATTCTAGAGGTGAATGTTTTGGGTAAGTGACAAGTAATTAAGGAAGAAGGTGTCACAGATTGGAAAATGTTTCTGAATTGTTTGGGGTGCAAGCAAATAACTGACAGAAGCTCATCTCAGACTCAGAAGCAGTATCCAACTGTAATAGAAGAGTTGTGCCATCAATTTTCACTGGCGGAACTTAAGAAATCAACCAGCAACTTTGATGAAAACAGAGTAATTGGACGTGGATTATTTAGTCAAGTATACAAAGGTTGTCTCCGTCACAATGGTGCTTCTGATTTCACAGTCGCAATAAAGCGATTTACTGAACGCAATCAAGGATGGGAAGCGTTCAAGAAGGAAATAGAGTTGCTCTGCCAGCTTCGTCACCCTAATATTGTCTCTCTTATAGGATTCTGCAACCACAAAGATGACAAGATTGGTGTGTTCGAGTACATGTCCAATGGATCTCTGTATGACCGGCTACTACAAGGTGGGGAACTGTCATGGAAGAAAAGGCTAGAGATCTGCATTGGAGCAGCGCGTGGACTACACTACCTTCACACAGGAGCCAAGCGCACCATCTTTCACTGTATTCTCAGTCCCAATACAATTCTTTTGGATGCCAACATGAAGCCAAAACTTGCAGGTTTTGGCGTTAACGTACAGGGATCACGTTTTATGTCAAAGACTAAACAAATCAATATAGAACGCATCACGGGTAAATTTTTATTTTATTTTATACTACAATGATTTTCTGTCGGTTATATTAAGTTAGTTAGTTATTAGTACTTTACTTATAGGTACTCTTGGCTACATGGCTATGGAATATGCCATCAACGGTACCGTGACAGATAAATGTGACGTTTTTTCATTTGGTATGATCCTACTAGAAGTTGTGTGTGGAGAGAACTATTTAGAAATGCCAATAGAATTTATGGAGAGGCCTGTTGAGGAGAAAATTGACCCGAATATCCAAGGAAAAATTGCACCACAATGTTGGCAAGTGTTTATAGATATAGTCCAGAGATGTGTCAAGCTTGAACCTGATGAGCGACCAGCAATGGGTGAAGTTGAGGTTGAACTTGAGCATGCTCTGTCCTTGCAGGAACAAGAGGACATCACAAACACTAATGATGAATATACTTTATTGTCCAAAACCATTATTGACCTAAGACTAGAGTGGGAATATTTTGAGCGTGCTCTGTCATTGCAACAAAAGGAAGATATATCCCCAGAGACAGTGACTTAGAAGACTTGGTTATTTGCTGAGATCAATTCGCGATCACTAATATAGGGCCACAACTCACAAACAAATAATATAAAAGAACTAGACACCACATCCAATCTATAGCTTTTGTGGCAATCCTTGCTTTTAGCATTTTGAATCTTATTGTGTCCCAAGTTATCATTGTAATTCTCTTGAACTAGTGTAAATTTGAAAGCAGTGAAGGACACATGACACTTGCAAATTTTAGCCAGTAAATTATAAATAACTTTGGTTGGATTAGAACAGCAGGAGAACACAAAATTATAAATATTTTGAAAACTAGGTGAACTTTTGCATGTGAAGTTAAATATGGAAAAATAATTGTTATTTTTAAACAAACCTTCTCAAGGAATTGAAAGAAAAAAAATCTAAAATAAGTTATGTCCACAAGAATACCAGTCTGTGCATGAGGTTAATGAATGCTGGTTTTACAATGAAGCGAGTAAATATTTGAATTCGCCAAAGAAAAAAAAAGATGTCTATTTCTTATAGTTTGAGAGATGGGATCTATCTAGTTATGAGAAAATGACCGCGTAGATTCAAAGTAAAAATTATGGTGTTGATAATGCTACTTCGAAGGGTCCTTTTGAGAACACCGGGTCAGAGTTATCAATTTGGAGAACGTTTGTGCTGAAGTCTTTATTTTTATGAAAATGAAAATAATACGTATACCAACTAAACATTAGAGTTCCATGTTCTATATTGCATGCTTGTAATGTAATAAATTATCATCATTTAAGAAATATAATCTTTAACAATATGTAAACAAAAATGTGTGCAATAGCTTTTCCTGTTTGGAATAAAATGATTTAGAATTTCAATTTTATTCTTTACATTTCTTTGCAATCTATTTCCTTCCCTTCCATGATACATTATCCACAGCAATGCTATAAAAGAATACACCAAATCCAACTCAGTTATAAAAAAGAATGATGCAATTTATTTTCTAGCAAGAAATTCTCCATATTTGAATCCAGCGAGTGTTTTCAGAATAATCCGTTAGTGTAGCTTTACTGCAAAAGTTTAACCCTCTAGTCATAGACTGATAAATGTCGAATAGCAACTCCAATGCTGAAGGTGGAGGGTTATAAGCTATTGTGTGCTTTATCAACATCATCATCCTAATCTAGGTTAATCGATCAGTAAAATACAAGCTTTCGGATCAATTGCATCTATTCATCTTTAGAGCATACACGTTCTGCACACAGAAAAAAATTGAAATGCTTTTAGGCCTAGCAATATATACACAGAACAGGTGCAATGATAAATGAGGATTCATAAGTAAGCATATTTATTCCAAACTCAATAACCGATAACATAACTACATAAGAACAGAAGCTCCAGCAGAAAAAAAAAATCTATATTATTAAATAAATATGCAAATAAAATAAACTTGATTAAGGAAATCAAAAGAAGAAAAATGCATGCAAACGGAAAATAAATCAAAACAGTTTGTGGACATAGATTGTCAGCACGTTTATAGGGATGTTCAAAAAACTATATTAAACTAAACTATTGTAAAAACTAAACTAAACTAAACTATAAAAAACTAAACTAATTTTTATAAAAACTAAACTAAACTATATTTGAAGTTTAGTTTTAAAAACTAAACTATTATAAAAAGTAGTTTAGTGCACTTTAACTATTAAAAAAACTTATAACTAGGAAATGTTCTAAATAATTAATTAGAACTAAACTAATAAATAATTAAATTGAATTAAAATAGAAAAAACTAAATTATTTTTATAAAAATTGAACTAAAATAAATTTTATGGTCAGTTTTATAAATCTAAAACTATTTTCTAAAGAGTAGTTTGTTAGACCAAACTATTAATAAAATTGAATTCTTATTATTAATACCTTTTTCGTAGCTTTTCAATTGTTTATTGTCTACTTTTGAGTCGGTATACTAGTGGTTTAGTGCTATTATGCACAACTACACATTTTTTTATTAATTTACGGGATTAAAAGAAAAAATTAATTTTCAATTTTTCATTTATTAATTGAATAAAAATTTATATACCTTTCGTAATTATTACTCTTTCAATATTTTTAATATAATTATTATAAAAATTAAAAAAAAAATGTATTATATATGTATGTACAAACTTCTCTCTTTATTATCCAAATAATTTTATTTTTGATGCTAAAAAATATTATTTTAATAAAAAATTATAATATTAATTAATTGAGTTTAACAATTGAGTTTACAACATTATAAAAGTAACGGTATACATTTTTATAATATATTTTAAAATTCATACTATTTTGTAAAGAACGTATTAACTTAAAAAAAATAGTTACATGTAATATTTAGATATTGTTTTTAAACTTTTTTATTTAATAATTAATAAGATCAGTAAATTGATTAAAAATTAATAAGATTTGATTGATTTTCAAAAAATATGAATGAAAAATCTATCATGTGGACTTTTATCAATATTATACTTGTTTTACATTTCAAACTATTTTAAATTTAATTCATAATTAATATCAATGATTTGGTAGCTCAATTTAAAAATGATTTTAAATTTATTTTTTTTAATGTAGTTCAATTTAGTTTATAGTTAATAATAGTTTAATTTAGTTGATATTATAGTTTAGTTCAAACTCCTAGAACTATAGTACACTAAACTATCTAGTTTAGTTTAGTTTAATCAATATTTATTTTAGTTCAATTTAGTTTTGTGAACTATTTATTGTAGTTTAGTTTAGTTTTCTTTTAGTTTAGTTCAATTTAGCAATTTGAACACCCCTACGTTTGGATACATAGTTGGCAACTATGACGCACATCAGCTGAAGCAAATATTAGTTGCTTATACATTAATTTTGACATGATCGTGGATGGACAGCCAGACATGCAATTTGTCACACTACTAAGCAATTTGTAGACTATTTTCTATAAGGCCAAGAGGGATGACATGTAGTAGAGTTTGTACAAAGAACATGAGAGAATATTCCAACAAATATAACTATGTTAAGTGTGATTCAACCTTTGATAGAGAAACTTACTACAGATAGCTTCTAGTCAGGAACACATTCACAAATGAGATAACTAGCAATAAAAGCCAAGATTGTCATTAATTGGCATATCAAGTAAGAAATGTGATGGCCAAATCTTACGCTAAATTAAAGGAAGACCAAGAAAGGATCTACAGGAAGATGTAGATCACAAGGAATATATATAATCCAATAGAAAGGAATGAGGAATACCTTAAAAAAAATTACAAGAACCATTAAAACATAAAAGAACATTTAACAGCCTTGTTACGAATGAAGATGTTGTTTTAAGAGAGCTCTATGGTGTAAACTTTGTAACATATCCATGCAGTTGACAGCACCTGGTAGGATAAAGCTTGGTTGTTGTATATATGCCTATATGGTGTATTTTGATGGGCAGGAATGCCTGTATCTTTAAGGATGTCTCTCTCTGTCCTTACTAATGTTCTTAGATAAGATTGAGTTAATGTCCTCTCTTTCGTTCTTTGTGCATGTGGTTCCAAAGGATTTCCTATTGCTGATATGAAAAAATATTGGACAGCTCTCTGGCCCACTGTTTTCCATTTTCTATTCAGGAGGATCTCTTATGCTCCCTCCAAATGAACTTTCTCCCCCTTCTTTGAATTAATAAATATATTGTTCTTCCATAACATTTTATCTACCCATTTTCCAATTCAGATTTGAAGAGTTAAGTATGTTGTAATGTTACTAAAATTTATCTTTTCTGTTAAGGAGTAAAGGAAACATTATGTGTGAGTGTGATGAGTCCCCATTTGAGCCAAGCCTAAGTGCCTAACTTCTTGGGATCAGTTTCACTCCTGTTGCTGTCTCAAGTGCAGCATTGGAAAGAAGAAAAAGGATACGATGTATAAACCTAAAAGTGAAAAGCCTATAACCGAAACATAAAAGTAGAACCACAAAATGTTGCCAGCTGAGTTACTCAACATGGCTACAAATGAAGACTAGGATGATGACATTAGATGTCAGGACAAAAGTTTAAGTTGAACATTTATTCAAATATTTGGTTGCACAAAAGCAGAAAACACAAACAGATAATAAACATAAAAACGTGCACATACACAAAGAAAATGTAATCAGGGAGGAAGAGTTCTTACTCAGATACTCATACGTCAATATCATTGAAGTGCCCCATGCTGACATGCTAAAAAATCTTGGACCAAACCCTCTATAAAAGCCCTTCCAACCATCTTCATTGATTAAATCTTTAACAACTTGTTTTATAGAGCTTCTATTTTCATGTCCCATTACCTAAGGTGTAGAACTAGCCAGTCAGAAAAATTTAAATAGGTGGTCATCAGAATAAAAAATATTGACAATTGTGCAAGTAAAATGAAAATACACTATGTTCATGAATGTTATTCTCATTATTTTCTTCTCCTTTTAGTATTTTAGAGAATGAGGGAACAATATACCATCACCATAATATTTCAATGAATTAATTATGTATATATATTGAAGCAACAAGTGTATTATTATCTCTTTATCTTTACAATCCAAGACCTATACAAAAATACACAGAAAGGGAAGATGACAGGAGTCAAGATAAGATTCATGAACAGAACTATACAAAAGGAGAGAAACCTTGCGCTGGGGTTGTAATGATCACATAAAACAATGAACTAAAAAAGAAATAAACTTGGTCAATGAAATTATGCAAACCTGTAAACGTGTCTTGATAGTATCCAATGGGGTTGTAATACAGGATGAAGTTGCACCAGCAATAATCCCTCCAGTAGCCTGAACAAACATAATTTTCGGCACACTAGGAGTGCCTTCATCATGTTTGGCACCATGGTCCAGGAATCTGTTCATGCAAGCAGGTGCTAATTGCTTTTAGTATTAGAAAGTTTGCAATGATAACTTGGAAATAAAAATAACAGCAAGCACAATTACTAAAAGTGCATTACTATTATTTACAAAATTTTCTGCAATTAAAAAAAAAAATTGAATCACTAGCTTACTGCAAAATCAGCCTATTCTTTTGGCAGTGTTTCTCAGCCAAGAAGAAATTCTAGCTTTCCTGACTTAATATAATCCACTGCCAGCATGCAGATGCAGTAACAACATCATACATTTCAACTGGTGTAATTCCATGTTTAAAGACTGAATCTGTTACATACATTCATCTGACCAAGCTAACACTAAACTTCAAAAATTATTTATCAGACTAAAGCAATGCACTGTGGCAGTGCTTTTTTGCAGTTTTTCCATGTCCTTGGAACACAACAGGCATCCTTAACTCTAAGATGGAAAACATACCTATAAGCTATGTTTGAACTCATGTATACATCATAATTATAATTAACATTTGTATAGAAGAAACCATGTATACTACAATGCACTCATACCAATCAGGATAGTATATTTTTTTATCATTTTGTCAATTGATACAATATAAAATGAAATTAAAAGTTAATGAAACAATGATCGAATATTAAGACATAAAATACAAGTATTACCATATCTTACCTCCAAACGAAGCGTTGGCTTGAACCATAACTTGCCCACCATACTGCACTAGCAGGAGAATAAGTGATAACAGACAGACCAAACCCTCGATACAATCCTCGGATGCCATCAGACCTTAAAACCTTGCGAGCAACATCCAAACCTCCACTATATTGAGCATGGCCTGAGTATCCTTGCACCATCAACTTTTGGCTAACCTGAATATCATTCCATGTGAATTAGATTAGATATTAGAATTATCCATATTGAGGTAAAAGAATAAAATTTTATCATGCAAAGAAATGAGACCAAATTAACACGGTAAGAAACTTCCTTACCGCAACAAAATAAAAAGGGCAAAACAAAAATAAAAAATAACCTTCCGTATTTATCTGAGCATTTTTTATTAGAATGTTTTAAAGAAGCACCAGTAGAACAGCATCAGTAACAAAAGACATTTATAGCACAAATAAACTAAAAAAAAAATCCTATTTTTATGATCTTGCATATGATCCAATAGAATACACCATTGGTATGAAGACTAAACACATCACTGAAAAACCTCACTTTCCATCCTTCATCTAAATAAATTTTCTGAGCTTTAAATAACCAACTATAGCATTTTATATGTCCTACATCATAAGTCCTAACTAAAAAAATTAGAAGCATTATCTCACCATTTAGAGTTTGATTAAAAACAATAGGAAGCATTTAAAATAAATACTTGATATTACTCTTTAAATCAAAAACAAAAATGAGAACAATAAACCTGTATTTTGAATTGCATCAAACATGATAGATCAGTAAACAAACTCCAAGTTCCAAACTTTCAAAAGATGAGAAATACACTGTTGAGCTGCCTAAAGAACACTTTTAATGGCAGAGCATATGGATTTGAATGTACTATCACATGCATATGTATATAGCATGGGAATCAGTTAGTCCAAAACAATGTATTTTGAAGTTCAAGGATAAAAACACATAATTGTTCGCAAGGTTACATGAATTAGATTATCATACCACATCAATCGGTACAAACACAGATTGAGCTAAAAGCGATGATGTCATGCCTGCAACTCCATTTGCAATGGCAGCTTGGGTAGTTTCAGATAGTTTAAACGGTTCAAGCATTCTGAAGGCAGCCACCTTTGTGGTCTCTAGAGCGGATAGGAATATGATTCTGGCAGGAATTGCACCAGTGATAACTGTACCAAACCCTCTATACAAACCAGGGATGCCATCTGTTTTAAGTAGTCCTTTCACAACAGAAAACACATTTCTCTCAACAGCATCCTTTGTGGCAACCTGCAGCCTAGTTTTCACAACAGAAACAGGGTATAGTGCCACAGAAACACCTGTAAAGAGTCCAGCTCCTACGACATAGAACTTAGTTTTATCTAGCCTGCAGAATTGAGTGAATTTCATTAGGATTAAAGCTTGCAGATGTAAAATTCATTACAATACCGTGAGCTCAAAGAGGTCACAACATCTGTAAGATATTTTGTTATAAATAAATCAAAGCAAGGACAAGATGGGGGATGGCCCTGATTTTCATGAAGAACTGGCATCCACATATACAAGATATAACCCACAAATTTACTAGCATCCAAATCATACAAAACTATCTTAAGAGGAAAATGGGAGCAATTCACCAATTCAAGCAGTTGAGTGCAATCATCTTGAATCTTTTATATAAGAACCCGACATTATCGTCTAATAGAGTAGATCACAATATGAATATGAAGATAACCGGTTGCAGTGAAGTAAAGAATGCAACACAATGAATTTCCCATACCCAATGACGCACTGATGGCAGCTTGTATTCATTATTAACAACTAGTCTTTCACTCTTCGGCAGCTCCCATCAGATTGGGAACTCCATAAGCTCTTTTCAATTGTTTTTCATTTGCTTTTATAAAAAATTAATTTACCCTTTTATGATTTTCACTCGATTCACATAAAAACAAACCCACAAGCCATAAATCTCCCACCCCCAATAAAATTATTCAAAAAGGAAAAAACTTCAGCGGCTAGGTATACCGATTTATAATTTTTGAGTGACGGGCATGTCGAAATACAGCAAAAAAAAGATAAAGCAATAGCAGAATTGATAAAGGAAAAGAAGAAACAATACTTGTCCCAGTTAATCTCAGTTTGACCGAAGGACTGGGCCATTGGAAGAAGGAAAAAGTCTGAGAACAGAAGCTAAGAAGACGAGGACATGATCTCAGGATGTCTTGTAAATTGCAAATTGTAACTGAAAGGAAATGAAACGCGAAGTGCTTGAAAGGGTTGGTTGACAATTTGGTGAAAAGGCTGCGCGTACGCGTTGTTGTGGCAGAATCACACACTACAAGCCTTCCATTTTCAATTCCTTCATTTTTTTACTTTGACCACCTTCTATCATTCCCTGCCAACCAACCCAGTCGAGCAATAATCAAAAACTAAATCATTTTCAATTTCTTTAAATTCTTTTTATTTTGACCTTCTTTTTTTAAGATAAAAAAATTATAAAGATTACTTTGATCATATTCGATACATAAACTTAGCTATTAATATTTATAATTATAAGTACCTTATTTTAGTTTTTATATATTTTTTATTAAATTAAAATGCAAAATTTATATAATTATAAAATTATAATTTATATATGAACTAAAATAAAATATTTTTAATTATAAAAATTAAATCTAAAATTTATAAATCTATAAAAACCAAAAAATAATTAAACCTTAAATTAATTTATGTGTTTAAAGTGGAATGATGATACTGTTCAATATTTTTATTTTACACAACAATTTACTATACAATATATAATAAAAATATATTTTTTTTTCTTCATTCATCATTTAATTTATTGTGTAAAAAATATCTTTTCTTTTTCTATCTTAATTAAAAAAAATATTATGCAGTTTATAGTTCAAATATTATTTTCTCTTTATATAAATATGAAACATTTTACATACGCATTGATCAAAATTAATCATTTTGTTATATCGTTCTATTTTTTAATAATATGATAACCCATTAGGGAAAAAACTTCATTAGATGTTTTGTTTAAAAAATAAGCTAAACTAATAATACATAATATAAATTAAATTTTATTAATTTTTTTATTTGCACAAAAATAAATTATTAAAAAACTTAATAGTGATATACCTAAAATAATTTCATATTATTATAATATTATTTATAATCACAATTCATTATAAATGATAAATTTATTAATTTTTATTATAATTATCTTATAAATCATATAAATTATAATTTTTAATTTGATTAATTATGTAAAAAAATTATATTGAAAATACATCAATATTAAACTCATAATTAAAATGTTATTTCCTTTTCACTATTTATCTTTGAAAATAATATATATTTCTTAAAGAATTAATAATTATATAAATTAATATAATAAAATATTTTAAATAAAATAATCTCTATTAAAATAATTATAAAATTTATTTAAGTATTTAAGTAAAAAATAAAAAGTTAATAAATAACTTCTTCTCTATTTAAGAATTTAATTTATATGTATAATGTTTTTACATAAATATCTAATAAAAATCCATTGTATCATTACACCATTCTAATGATTCGTTAATATGATGTGGCAATAGTCCATGCACAAACACTATATAAATATTTCTATTTTTAATTTTTTTATCAAATTTAATTTTAAAGTAAATTTTAAATAAAAATGTTAGAGCAAAAACAAAGGAAAGTGCTTGATGACCGTACAATCTCATTGGATGTGCTTTTGGTAACAATTATGTCCTCAAATTCATAGGTCGATTTGGCCCCAAAAATAGTAAGTTAATTTAGTCTATGATCTAAATAAATTACAGAATCAGCCAAAAAATAGTACGGAACTGTTTTTTTTTCCCTTTAAAAAGTTTAAAATACTTAAAATTTTCCTTTTATTATTAATAAATATTGTTATATATCCCGGAAACTTAGACTTAAATATATACGATAATATATTTGTTTTAGACTTTTACATATACTTAAAATGTTAAAAACTTATAAAATACTTTTTTTAGTTTACATGATAATATATTTTTTTTAAAATTATATTATTTATTATTTTATATACTCTTCAAAAAAATTATTTTTATTACATTAATACCGATAATGCTACAGTTCAACAGCTTTTAAATAATTGAAACCTGAATCAATATCTCATGAGCTGAATAAACGGATCTGATTTAAAATATTGTGAATAACTATGCCGACATTGACAAGGTTGTACAAAAATTAGTGGGCAAATGTTTGTTGACTTTTATGAACTGTATCTGGTTTTAAAGTCAGTGAAGAACAGTTGGCACTTCCTCTCCGCCTCTTATTATACAATGATGTGCTTGTTCAAAAGTTTATTGACTTTTATAGTCTGCGTTTGACGTGCTTGTATACAAGTTTTGCAGCAACAAAAATGGGCTTCTCTCTGTTACCAAAAGCAACTCCTTGCATTGTGTTCTTGGTTCTGCTGTCCTGTACTTGCTTCACTTCAACAGGTTCACAGCATTACTTTTTTCTTTTTTCTTGTCCCATGTCTTGAAATTTTCATTGGTTGTGTGGTGTTTTTGTAAGATGGATAGTTCAGTTTTCCTTAAATGCATAACCGTGCCATTTTCTTCTTGTGTTCATTTTATGCTACGTGATTTTAAAATGCATGTATGCTTGTGAATGGTTCAACGTCTGCTCTTTGAATTTGATAAAGAAAGTGGATCTTTTGTCCTATTGTGGAAAGTTTTGATCATTTATTAGCTTCTGGCAGCTAATATTGCTAATTATTTTAAGTAGAAGTATGTCGTTTAGCTTTGCTTTGCTAATTATTTTAAGTAGAAGTATGTCGTTTAGCTATTTAAAGATATAGATATGGAACAAAGAAATGAAAAAGAATTGATTTGGCTTTTTGAGTTTTCGTTGAGTCAAGTGAGAAGTTTGTTTATGATTTGTTCATATTGTTCTCCCTTTTGGCGATCTATTGGAATCTGTTTTAAGTTGAAATTAATTATGATTGCATTCAACAGATTTGAGCCTAAAATATCCTGCAACTGGGACAAGTTTTGGTTGACTTTTACAAATAATGACCCCCTTAAAAGTCATCCTTACCATTATTATGGAAATTAACCTCGTGGAATAAGTCATGTATAAAATTCCATGCAGATTTTAGATCCCAGATAACTTCCACTCCTTTATCATCAGTATATGACGTTATTATATTATGTTTAAATGAAAGGAGGTTATTAGATATCTTGGGTGCAAAGGATGGAGTCATGCATCCCTACAAGAATTAAATATGTAAAGATGAAAACTATAATATCACCAGACGTTGACATAAACAATGTTTTCTTGTTTGCTTTCCCTTTTATGACTACTTAAGCAAGTCTGGCAATTGTGTCTCAATTTCTATCTATTGCGTGTAGTATTAACATAGGAATATTTAGAGGTTCAACATTTACTTTGTTTACTTTCCTTCTAATTACTTTCCACATGTTGTTGCCTTGTTGTCTGTTTATCTTTCAGATGCTTATGATCCGCTTGACCCAAATGGGAATATCACAATCAAATGGGATGTTATGTCCTGGACCCCTGATGGTTATATAGTAAGTAGATTCTTTCACTATATCACCTATTTACATGAGAAGCAAACCATTTGTTGTACATTAGCCATGGTGTTGAAATATGTTTGCTCCATTTCTTTCCACTGGTTGCTCACATCTTTTATGACGAATCTGCATATTCATGTCAGCTGCATCTCATGTCATCCATCAAAGACAAAACTTAGGTCCGGTATCATATATATAGACAGGTTTTATTCTCCAATCAAAATTAAAGTTTTACTACAATAATATACGTAAATATATATTATCAAAGTCTCTAATAAATATAAATACAAGTTATTAAAGTAAAATTCTAACTCCTAATAGACAACACTACCTCCGATACTTAACTGACTCTATGTAAGTTTTGTCCTTAATGTCAACGGTTATAGCACTTTAGAGTGACTTGACTTTATTTTTGTCACATTAGTTATTTAAATAAGAAACTATTGAATGTACAGGCTGTTGTTACGATGAGCAACTTCCAACGGTATCGTCATATCACTTCACCTGGGTGGTCACTAGGATGGACATGGTCAAAAAGGGAGGTAATATGGAGCATGATGGGAGGACAAACCACTGAACAAGGGGATTGTTCAAAATATAAGGGAGGTATTCCACAAAGCTGTAAGAAAGATCCAACGGTTGTAGATTTGCTTCCTGGAACACCTTACAATCAACAAATTGCAAATTGCTGCAAAGGTGGGGTGCTCAGTTCACCGTTGCAGGATCCAACCAATGCAGTGGCATCATTTCAAGTCTCTGTTGGTAATGCTGGAACCACAGACAGAACTGTCAAGCTCCCAAAAAACTTCACTTTGAAAGCACCAGGACCAGGTTATACTTGTGGGCCAGCAAAGATGGTTAGACCCACTAAGTTCATTACCCCAGACAAAAGGAGAGTGACCCAAGCACTGAGTAAGCTAAAAGGACTTTCACTTAAATGCAATCTTTTCCTTTCATGTTTCACAATTTTGTCATCCAATTTATAAAATTTTGCAAAATTTGTCATTGTATAGTTGACATAGTTAGTTGTTAACATAATAATCATTAACATGTTACATATGAACGATGATATGACATATCTTCACGACAATAATCAATGTGTTATATTAATAATTAATATAATATGTCGATAATTAATAAATTTTGTCAATCTATCACAAATGATAAAATTAATAAATTTTTAAAAATTAAGCGGCAAAATTTGCAAAATTATTGTATCCTTAACATCAGTCTTATTGATTTATTGCAGTGACATGGAGGATTATATGCACATACTCACAATTTCTAGCTCATAAAGCTCCCACTTGCTGCGTCTCACTTTCATCTTTCAAAAATAACACTGTTGTGCCCTGCCCAACATGTTCATGTGGCTGCAAAAGTAACTCAAACTCATCTCGGTCAGCAAGATGCATAAAGTAGGTTTCCAATTTCCATAATGCTGCATTGTGTTTGCCTTCTAGATAGTAGATACCAAGTTGTACACACTCATATTTCCTTTCTCTGTGTGGTTATAGACCAGGTACGCCACATTTGGCCTCAGTTTTTTCTGGCTCTGGGAATGATGAGTTTTCACCTTCGGTTCAATGTACTAAACATATGTGCCCAATCCGAGTCCACTGGCATGTTAAGCTTAACTCCAAAAAGTACTGGCGTGTGAAGGTTACCACTACTAATTATAATTACAGGATGAATTATTCTGACTGGAACTTGGTTGTTCAAGATCCAAACTTCAACAATCGGACTCAAGTGTTCGGTTTCAAGCACAAGTTATTGACTCCTTATGCTACTATAAGTAAGTGCAATCCTAACTTGTT